AACAGAAACAGATTACCAAATTCTTTGTCAAGAAAATTGCCAACATTCAGAAATACTTCACGACTTTTCAAAGCTATTGCAATCTTTTGTGTGGTGTGTGTGTGTGTGTGTGTGTGTGTGTGTGTGTGTGTGTGTGTCTTTTTGAGACAAGGTCTTCCTGTAGCTCCAGCTGGCCTGGAACTCGATATGTACACCAGGTTGGCTTTGAACTCACAGAGAGCCACCTGCCCCTGCCTCCTGAGTGCTGGGATTAAAGGTGTACGCCACCACACCCAGCTTGCAATCTTTTTTTTTAAAAGAAATATTTTGTGTGTACGAGTGTATTGCCTGCATGTATGTAAGTACACCTGTGTCATGCAGTATCTGCAGAGGTCAGAAGAGGGTATCAGACTCTTGGAACTGGAGTTATGAGTGGTTGTTAGCCACCATGTGGATGCTGGGAACTAAACCCAGGTCCTCTGGAAGAGCAGCCAGTGCTCTTAACCACTGACCCATCTCTCCAGCCCCAGCTGTTGCAATCTTGAGGACATCAAAGTTGAGTTGTATAACCATATTTTCCCCACTGATATAACAAGTACTAGAATTGTGGTCTAGCTAAAAACACTCTTCTTAGATAATTTTAAGTGGATTTAAAGTAATCCTTGTATTCTGAGAAAAACAGAAGCTTGGATTCTGTATTTGTTACTTTTCACTGTGACAAAATATTTTGGCTCCTGGTTTCAAGGGTAACAGTCCATCATGGACTTATCAAGTCCGTGGCTTGTGGCAGCAGGAACATGAGGCTGTTTGCTCACCTTGGGGCGGGTCAGAAAACAGAAAGAGAAATGGAGGCACTCAGCAGGCTTTCTCCTTTTCCTTTTATCCAGTCTGACACCCTAGTCCATGGGATGGTGTCACTCACATTCTTCCCTCATCAGCTCAGAAATGCCCTCACTGACAGATCCAAGATGTGCCTCACCCAGCTTTCTCCAGGCAGGCCATACTGGTCTGATTTCTAGAGTATATAGTGGTGAGGAGTCAGGTTGGGAGTGTGAGCCTGGAAGTTTCAGGAAATCATGAACATCACAGGAGAAAAAGAATTACTTTCTCCTTCACTGCATCCATACAGGGCAAGATCACAGTGAACTCAAGGGAAAAAACAAAAAACAGCTCAGAGATTAACGATCTGGCTAAAGATTCCCATAGCTTCCTGATGCTACAGAGAGGTCAAGTCAATGAGTCTTGCTAAGTAATTCAAGCTTTTCACTGAAAGCCACAATCTAGGATTAAGGACTAAGAACAAATGCTAAAAATGGACTCATGCTAGTAAAACTAAACTCCAACATGATCAAGATGCTCTAATTGCCTACTGCACAAGTCAGGAATGTTGAGGGGAAGATGACAATCTCTACGGTGTCAGTATTCAGATGAGCCATGCAATGAAGCGGGCACACATTATTTCCTATTTCATTCATAATCTGGACTACATGTTCAAACAAAACTCATGAGATCTGCAAATAATGACTTTAATCATTGTAGCTATGTCAAAGAATTTGGAGATGATTAAATGAGGAAACGTGGATGGTGTTAAAGAGGGCTGGAAACTAAGAAAATCAAACGAAAACCCTAGAGCAGAAAAACACCTAAAAAATTCACTAGAAGGGCCTAGCACAAGAATCAATGAATTAGAAATGGATCAATAGAAAGTCTCCAAATTAAAATTCAGAGAAAAAAGGAGAAAAGAGAAGCCTTGGTGACAGTATTGGGTTATCTAAGTGTTAATTGAATTCACAAGGACAGAAGGAATGGGGCAGAAAAAAAATTCTTTGAAAAGTGGTTGAAGTTTCTACATGCAATGAAAAACCCACAGAACTGTAATTCTAGATCTTTGGAGGCTGAAGCAGGAAGATCTTAATTTCAAAGGCAACCTGGGCTACACAGCCAAACTCTATTTCAAAACAAACAAGGCAGGAGCTGGAGTGATAGTGCAGCGGTTAAGAACATTGTTCTTGTATAAGACCTGGGTTCGAATCCCAGCACCCACACAGCAGCTAACAACTGTTGGTAACTCCAGTTCCAGGGGGTCCAACAGTCCCTTCTGTCCTCCGTGGGCATTGCATGACATGGGCACACTTACCTACATGCAGGCAATACACATAAAATAAAAATAAATATTAAATACAAAAAAAAAGGTAGCCTAGGCTACATAAATTCCAGTCCAGATTGAGCTAACAAGTTGAGAAAGCAGCGTAAGTATCAAGAATCTTAGTCATATTTTAAACAGAAGACTCAGCTACTAATGAATATCTTTTTTTTTTTTTTTTTGCAAATTATTATTGCATGTGATATGCAGGTGATGAGGATGACCTTCAGGAGTTGGTTCGCTTGCTACTGTTGGTTCTTGGGATCAAACTTAGGCTTGTAGAGCAATTGACTCTAAGTTGTCAGGATCATGCTTTTTCTGTTCCCACAGTGAAGGGGTCTCCCCAATTGGATGGAATTAACCTGTTAAAAGATGCTAATCATGGGTCTGGTTAAGAGCACTGGCTGCTCTTGCAGAGGACCCCGGTTTGATTCTCAGCACCCACACAGTGGCTGATGTAACCAGTTCCAGGGGATCCGATATCCTCTTCTGACCTCCTTGGTCATTACATGACAGGGTGCACTTACACAGGCAATACACATATACCACACAAAGACTAGAGGACTTCATAGCATCCTTAGATTGAGAAACACACCATATGACCAGGTTAATATGGCCAAAACTGGGTGGTACACACCTTTGAACCCCACACTTGGGAAGGCAGAGGCCAGAGAAGCTGGGCTACAGGGAGTTTGTCTCAAAAAAGAAACCATCCCCCACCCCCAAATGGGTGGGGCAGTATGGTCAGGGCTTAGATAAGAAAAGCTTTGTAGTTCCTTTAGGCTAATGAGAGGTAAAGACTGAGATAGAAACAGACAAATGCATAACTCTCCAAGGGCACAGGACAGGCATTCAATAATTAGTCCTAGGACAAGGTGTGTGGGGGGCAGAACTGAAGCAGACTCCTGCAGAATCCGACTGCTATCCTTCTGCCTTAAGAGCTTGGATACACTACCTGTAGGCCTAAAGCCAATTGCAGCAGGCTTCCCTCATGGGCTCATGCTGCCACCTGCTGGAGAATGAGAATAGTGACAACCATTTCCTGAAGGGAGCTACTTAATACTTTTCTAAAATGGCTGCAAATGTCTCCAAATCAGAACCAGAGGTAAGTGTGAGGGCATCAAGATTACAGGACTCTTGTATCTTACCTGCAGACCTGAGCATCTTTTGGTGACCTTTTAGGGTAATTACCCTCTATCCTCACCCAGGAAATACTTGCCAGCACCAGTTGTATCATTTCTACTTTCCCTCTCATAAAAAATAAAAGCCAGTAGGATTAAAAATGTAGGAATCAGCATATTTTTAAATGAAATGGAATAAGTCTTTAAAGGGTAAAAACTCAATTTTATGTCTTACAGGGTTTATACTGAGCTAATACTGTATAACTCTTAATTCAACTGTGAACCTAAAAATTTAGTCACTTTTGAAATAGATGTATCCTTGGCTCTGGAAATTGTTACTGAATGTCTTAAAGCAGTAATGAAATGCTTCTTCCCCAGCCATGGTGGCCATCACCTGCAATCCCAGCACTCACAAGACTGATGTGCTGAGTTAAGGCCAGCCTGAGCTACACTCACTGCCTATCTATGAAAAGCAGTTTAGAAGGTCCTTAATTTCCTGATGGTGAATTGCTCTGCATCCACACAGCACCATCTTAAGCTGCCTTACTAATTACAAGTAATTAGTGCAATGTTAACTATAATGACAAAGGATCCACACTAGGAAAATTTCTCAAAGTTGGGATCCCTAATTTGTTGCCACTAGGATACCAGCAATCAAATTCAAGCCACCCTTCTCCCAATCCAACAAAAGAACCCACAAAAGGACCCTAAGGACAGGAGAGACAGCTAGGGGGATTCAGTTCCCAGAACCTAAATGGTGGCAAATGATCACGCCCAGTGAATTTATTTATGCAGGCAAAAGTCATCCAGCCAATAAACCCACCAAACCAACACAAGGCCAAGCTATGCATGATCTTAATTCCTGTTTCTAGATTAAAGGCTTAGTTTATAACCATTTCAATCCCAAGAGCCTGCAATACTGGCCATGCCACATACCCATCTCCTCATATATGTTCTTGAAAGGCAATCTGTAGGGGTGGGGCTTCAAACTGACATTAGGAGAGAATTCACACCTAGCAGGTTACAGCTAAGAGCACTTGCCTGTTATGTACAAGGTCTCCAGGGTTCGACCTCTAATAATTCACACATTACCTACAACTGTTACAACTTAAGCGTTTATTCTTTCTGGATCACTAAAGAGGTTGTAAACTCTACTATCTAGAACATAGGCCAAAGGCTCCCAATTTCCAAGTTTACTGGACAAGTCTTTTTTGTTCAGGTAGACAGGAAATTTCCTTGGGCATCACCTTCTAGAGCTGGCTGAAGGGAACACATCCCTCTCTGAAAAGTATTCTTAATCCACTATACTAGTTTTTAGTGGCATTGGGTGTGACAGGTTGCATGGCAACCCAGGCTAGCCACTTAAAGAACAATCCTGCCTCAGGAGGTACCACACCCAGTTGGCATTTATACTCTTCAGGTTATTTTTCAAGGTTTTCATGGATTTGGTGCCTTCAATGGCCAGATTTAAATAAGCTTTGGTCTTGAGAACTTAATTGTGGCAACTTTCCAGCTAAATCCACCATGGTTGGTAAATCCTATACTCCCACATAGCTTTTCTGTGGCAATGAATTAAATCCTAAGCTTTCCACACACTAGGCACCACCACCATCTCTAACCCTTTCTGAGGAGGGTCTGTGCTCAAGGCTTGCTTCATTCAGCCTCCCATGAAGCTAGGATTTTGAACCTGTGCTTAAGACTGCTCTAGTCTTAATACTCCCTCCCAAGTTCTGGGAACTAGATGAATGCCACGCAAGTTGTCATATGGCTTTTTTATTATAAAAACTGAGAAGCAGGGGCTGGAGAGGACTTGGTAAGAGCCCTTGCCATTCTTTCAGAAGACAGGGGTTCAATTCCCAACACCCACATGGCAGCCAACCACCGGTAACTCCAGTTCCAAGGGACCCATGCCCTCTGCTGGCCTCTGCAGGTTCACACACAGTGAGAAGCAAGAAGTACACACAAGAACCAGACACCACCAATGCTAAACAGAAGCTGTTGGCCTCCCCCAACTACTATTTCCACATTTATGGCAAGGATTCTTGAAAGCATTAAGCACTGCATTGAGAATTTCCACTGGGTGAAGTCGGCCTGGATAGCAGAGTTGGTTTGCCAAGCTCTTCAGGATCTTCAGCAAGAGAAACATTTAAGAAATACAAGGTCTGGCACCAGAGTTTAGGACTTTTAATTTGTCCTAAAGTCACTGAAGCAAAAATCATGATAAAACATTCTTTTACAACCCCCAACAAAAAAACAAACAAACAAACAAAAAAACTATTTGTAGGAAAAAAATGGTTTTGTACATGGGATGAAACAATATAAATTCAAACTTACAGATAAGGTTAGCTCTATCACTCATCTCTTTTAAAAAGTTTGTATGAATATCCAGTCAAAACCAACAGGGTATCTCTTGAAATGTTATCTATATGGATTCCAAGTAGGCCACAGGACTGCATACTGTCTTGGAATGTCCTCAGAAGGCTCTGTCATTGAACAGGTAACAGAGTAAAAACCCCAGAGTCCTTTCTTTCAAATGGAAGGAGGAAAGACAGAAAGAGAAAACTATTCAAACTTCGTCTTCTTTCCTTGTGGTTTGAAGTCTCCTCCTCCTCCTCCTCCCCTGCCTCCTCGGAAGCCTCCTCGACCTGTAGAAAGGCAACACATCAGAAAGGATGGTACAGAGCTGGGAGTTGACTGCCCCACCCAGGGTGACCAGCACAGGCTCAGGAGTACATGTGCCATAGAGAATCCAACAGAGAGAGAAGCTTCCTTCTGTCTTACCTCCAAAGCCTCCCCGGCCCCTGCCACCAAATCCGCCTCTTCCTCCTCTGCCTCCACCTCGGCCACCGAAGCCTCCTCTGCCTCCTCCACGGCCACCAAAGCCACCTTCACCCTTAGGCTTGGCCCAATCCAAGGTAACTTTGTTTCCATCAATTTCACCATCTTCCATGGCTTCCTTGGCAGCTTTGGCATCTTCTTCACTATTGAAGTCTACAAAACCAAACCTAAAACATCAAATAAAATCACCCCTTAAAAGTATATACTCAATAGGTTAACAGGTACCCTCACATGTTAGCAATCCCACTGAAAGTAACCTTATTGTAAGTCAAGATCCAAATGATATACCCTGCTGGTTTGAATTTAAATCTTGGAATGTCTCACACAATAGCCAAACATACCTCTGTAAAAACAGAAGGTAAGGTAATGCTAGTTCTGTGAACTCTCTCTTCTTCTCGTGCGAATCCATAATCTGCCACCAGTTGACAGAAAGGAGCTCAATGAGAAGATACTTGGGAGACGAGCTCTCTATTCAGAATAGACTGAAGAGAAGGAACACCATGCCTTACCCTTTGGAGGACCCAGTTTCCCGATCAGTGACTATTCTTGCACGAACAGAGCCCTCAAATGATTCTTTTAAGGTCTCCTCAGTGGTATCCTCAGACAGCCCTTTGACAAACAGAGTTTTGGATGGCTCTGGAAGAGGAGAAAAAAGACAAATGTTCTGATATTGATTTATTATTTTGTATAAGTGTTTTGCCTGCATGTAAGTCCACCTGTGTTGTGCAATGTGTGTGGATGCCAGCAGAGGGCATCAGATCCTCCCCACCCCCCCACTACGTAGGTTCAGGGAACTGTACCCAGGTTCTCTCCAAGAGCAGGCAGTGCTCTTAACTACTGAGCCATCACCTGCCCTGAAGTCAACAGGGTCTCACTCTAGTCCTGACTGGCCTGGTGTATATCACCCTTTAAGTAGATTCTTTTTGCCTTGTCTCAGATGCTTATTTTAGCAGAAATAGGAACTTAAACTAGAGATACCTAGGCAAAAAGACTATTGGATCAACAGAATTCCTACTGAGCCCACTACATAGGGCATCAAATACAAAAGTTGCTGCTTCCCCAGCACTTGGGAGGCAGAGGCACACAGATCTCCGAGTTCAAGGCCAGCGTGGTCTACACAGTGAGCTCCAGGACAGCTGGAGCTACAGGGAGACCCTGTCTCAAAAAGACAAAACAACAACAACAACAAAAAAAAAACACAAAAGTTGCTGCTTTGAGTTGACACAGCTGGATCAGAACTTGACTATCTAGAGGAATTTTCTTGAGATTTCATCAATGATTTCTCAGGTAATCAGTCATCATATCCAGTTGCCACTTACTCAGCAGCAATGCAGAGTCAAATTTGTAGGAAAATTCAACAGACATAAAGTTCAAAACAGGAAGCTGCCACCCCCGAGCCACATCATGCCATGCCAAGAGGACTTACGACTTCTTGCATTAGGTGATCCCCTGGGTCCTTGCAACTCCAGTCTGATTGTTCTGCCCTCAATTTCCATTTTATTGCAGGAGTTTAAAGCTTCTTTAGCATCTTCAAATGAAGCAAATTCTATAAATGCATACCTGAGGATAGACAGTCAACACTTAGAATAAAGCCTCCGAACACAGCCCCTTTGACACGTTACCACCAAGCCTCTCCCCCAAAATATGCAATTAAGAGCCTATTTATGTAGCTCAAACTGCTTAGCTCTCCACTGGCAGAGTTACATATTCATAGCCCTTATTGACAATATAAATTTTACCCTTTAGATTTGCCATTTGGGTTCTGGGGCACTTTGATAAAAGTTGCCTTCTCAAATACTTCCTGAAGAGTTTCCTCTGTTGCACTGTAGGAAAGGTTACTTAAAACCAAAGTTTTTGATTCACCTGAAAATAAAGACATCACATTAGGGGTGCATCAGAATACGCCTGTCTGCAACCCAGCACTCAGGAAACAAGGCAGCAGGATCACAAATTCCAGGCCATCCTGGACTACCAAGCAAGTCTGTCTCAATTGCCTGCCCCCTTCTAGGTACCTAAAATAGTACTATTTTTCTAGAGTACTCACCATATACAGCAATGCCTCACTCCTTCCCCACTGTTTTCCTTGAGAATTGCTTGTACATAGTTAAGCCCATTTAAAGTATAATACACCCAACAGGGGCTGGAGAGATGGCTCAGCAGCTAAGAGCACTAACTGCTCTTGCAGAGGACCTGGGTTCCATTCCCAGCACCCACATGGCAGCTACAAACCGTCCTTAACTCCAGTTCTAGGGGAATCTGATACCCTCTTATGATCTCCGCGGCACTGCACAACACGGGTGCACTCACATACATGCAGGCAATACACTCATACACATAAAATAATAAATAAAATATATTTTAAAAACCCACCCAACAAAGGAAGCTGGACTTGCCTACTATTTTCTAATGGAAATGAGTTTGGATCTCTTTCACTCAAAGACTAAATAAAGTTAGCACTAAGAATAAGAGGTTGAATTAATCCTGACTAATCAAAGTATAAAGATACAAATATTTCCAACCCAATTCTTACCACTCCAAGTGCTATTCTTTCCCACTCTCTCTTGCCTTTGACCTTTCTCTCCAGTGTAGTGTAGTGAAACAGATCGCCCATCAATTTCTGCCCCCTGCTTTTCTTCAAAGGTTTTCTCCGCATCTGCTTCTGTCTTAAATTCAATATAAGCAATCCTGCATAGTGGATAAGCATAGCACAAATGTTTTATCCTCAGTCAAACTTTTCTTTATAGTTACAGATCACTTAATGATATGCATTCTGAGAAATGCATTAGATTAGGTAAGCGCCATTTTGTAATTATCAGTGCAAAGCTGCATATTGCTCTTAGTAAAGCAACCTTAGCAACTTTTATTGTACTTCAAGAATGTTCTTCATGTATTAGCTCATCTTTATAAATCATTTTATGCATATTATTCCCACGTAATAGGGAGGAAATAGCCATGCAGTAATTTTAATTGCTCATGATCATATTTATCTGATAAGGGAAGATGTACCTGGTGGTGCATTCCTATAATCTTAGCACCCTAGAGGCTGAAGCAGGAAGATTGTTGAGCTGGAGGTCAATCTGTGACAAAATGATCTGTTTCAAACCTGATCAACCAGGGGCTGAGGAGATGGCTCAGTGGTTAAGAGCACTGACTGCTCTTGCAGAGGACCCAGGTTCGATTCCCAGTACCCACATGGGAGCTAACTGTAACTAGTTCCAGGGAATTAAACACCCTCTTCTAGCCTCTATGGGCATTACATGACAAAGGTGCACTTACATACATGGAGACAATACACTCATCCACATAAAATGAAAATAAACAATATTAAAGAATTAGCTCAATGTCATTTTCTGCTACATACAGTTTGAGACCATCTTGGATTACATGAAATCAGGCAGTGGAGGGGGGTAAGGATGATACGTAAACAAAATCAAACATAAAACATACCCTTTGCTCTTCCCATCCTGGCTAACCAATCTAATCTCCATGGCATCTTCAAACACTTCTTTTAATTCATCCTCAGTGACGTTGAAAGACAGGTTTTTGGCCAAAAGAGTTCTTGCAGCCCGAACTAGATTTAATAAAACAAACAAACGAACAATTTTTAAAAAAAGGAACACATGAGTTAACAAGTCCCAGAACATAAGCTGAGATCCTATAAAGCCCTGGCTGCTCTTGCAGAGGACCCAGGTTTGGGTCCCAGTACCCACACCTGTCAGCTCACAGAACTCTAACGCCAGTTCTAATCAAATGCCCCCTTCTGACCTCCAGGGCACCAAGTACACATTTGGTGCATTCACATACACACAGGAAAAACACATTTTAAAAAAAAAAAAAAAAAAAAAAAAAAAAGCAAAGGACACAAAGATTATTAGAAACATAGAGCTAGAAAAGTCCTTGTATACTAATTGAAAAATCTGAAATGCCTCAAATCTACTTTAAAAGTTTATTTCAATTTTATGTGTATGAGTGTTTTGCCTACATGCATGTACATGTGTGTACAATGCCCGTGGAGGCCAGAAGAGGCTGTCAGATCTGCTGAAACTGGACTTAAAGAAGGAACTGGGCACCAAACCCAGGTCCTCTGCAAGAGTAGCCAGCACTCCTAATTACTGAGCCATCTCTCTAGGCCACCAAATCTACTCTTTGAGCAAAGTACTACATCACACAAATGGCCAACTCGACTTGCGAGAAATCATTCAAAATGCCAAGCTCGCTAATATTCAGGTTATGTGTATATGAAACAAATCAATTGTGTTTAGATTTAGGTCTCATTCCTAACATTTCAGCATGCATATATACGGAACATTTTACAAGTACTGCACGTGTTATAGGCCCATACCAGGCACTTGGGAGGCTGAGAAAGGAGGGCAGTAGGTTCATGACCTGTTTGGCTAATAAATTGAGTTCATGGCTAGCTTGAACTCATTTTTTCAAAAAAAAAAAAAACCTTAGCTTGCTGGGCATGGTGGCACATGCCTTTAATCCCAGCACTGGGAGGCAGAGGCAGGCGGATCTCTGAGTTCAAGGCCAACCTGGTCTACATAGTGAGTTCCAGGACAGCTGGGGCTATAGGGAGACCCTGTCTCAAAAAGACAAAAAAAATAAAATAAAAACAAAAACCTTAGCTCAGGGCTGGAGAGATGGCCCAGCAGGTTAAGAACACTGACTGTTCTTACAGAAGACCCAGGTTTGAATTCCAACACTCACATGGCAGCTAACAATTGTCCATAACTCCAATTCCAAGGGATGAGACAGTCTCTTCTGTCCTCCCTGGGCATGCACGACATGGGTGCACTTACTTACATGTAGGCAACACATAAAAATCAACAAATTAAAAAAACCCTTAGCTTGAAATGGTCAAAAGGGCACATAATGCTCAGTGTTTAGAGTGCTCGTCTAGCATGCAGAAAGCCTACGTACAATTCTCAGCATAAAAAATTTTAAAATGTGCTGGGTGAGGTAGCGCACGCCTGCAGTCTTGGAGGCACTTGGGAGGCAGAGATAGGTGGATCTCTTTGAGTTCAAGGCCAGCTTGGTCTACACAGTGAGTTCCAGGACAGCTGGGGCTACAGGGAGACCCTATTTCAAAAAGACCAAAGAAATTACAAAATAAAAATTACAAAATAAAATTTTTTGGGTCTTTTTTGAAAATTAATTTTTAAAAGATTTAAAAATGAGCACTCTAAAATCCAAATTTGGGTCTCAAGAATCCATTTCAGGTAAGAGATATTCAAACTAATTTTCTTTTTATTATGCATGAGTGTAGGAGATGGTATGCCAGAGCACACAAGGTCAAAGGATCATTTTGGAGTTTCTCCTCCCACCTTTATGTTCTGGGGGTTGAACTCAAGTGGTCAGGCTCGTGGCAATCACTTTTACTCACCAAGACATCTCAGTCAGTCCTGGAAACTAGTTTTCTGAACAAGACTATTAATGCTAGCCAGGCACAGTGGTGCATACCTGTAGCACCAGCATTTGGCAGGCAGTTAAGAGGGTTGAGGCCAGCCTAATCAATGTAGCAAGCTCTAGTCTAGCCTGGGATAACTCAAAAGCCCCAAAAGATTAAGGATTGGGGGTATGTCTACCTATCAAGTCTGTTACATTCCACTTACCAAGACGTTTACATACATACCTTTCTTACTGTCTCTTCCTTTTGGTTTTTCTAGTTTAATTTCATTGCCAAACACTTTTAAGCCAGTGAGTTCCAAAGCCTTTTCTAAGTCTTCAGCAGACTCAAAATCAACATAACCAAATTTCCTTTAAAGTAAAGAGGACAAAATTGCAGGTGTGGGGAGGGATCTACACATGTACCTTAAGCCCCAGTAACATCACAATGGTGTGAATAAGGACTATGTAAAACCATCTACAGCACTAACAAAATATTCTTCTCATTTGTATAGAAAATGTCCATATACCAAGACATGACAGTGATGTTCACTTGGATGCCTTCCTCATTTGCTACTGACAATATTTGCAACTGACAACAGAAACTGCTTAAGCATTAAGAAAATCCTGTCTGGCTAAAAGCATTCACTATGACTACTCGGATCAAATTTGTGGGTTCTATGATTTGAAACTCAGGATCATTAATGTCTAAACCTTTTTTCCCTTTTATGACATAGTCTGTGTATATAGCTCTAGCTGGACTTGAACTATGTTTAATCCTTAGCATAATTATATATTCTCATCTTTAAGAGTATAAGGACCAAGTAACTTGGGGAAAAAAAACACACCAGCTGATCCATAACATTCAATGAAGCACTTACCTATTTGTACCAGTTCTGACATCCACAACAGCAAGATCATTTTTAGCAAAAAGTTCACTGATAGCAACTTTTAATTCAGCAACTGATTTGCTAGGATTCAAGTTTCCAATGAACAGATTGAAAGGTGTAGTTGGTTCTGAGCCTGTATAAAAAAGTAAACTATTTTAGTCTATAAGTACATCGAAATCAATTTTCAGCAGTTTCTATGCAAGCATGTCAGCATATTGCACACTGCAGCACGAGGTTTCAGTATTAAGTCCCTTGTCATTCATCATTTGTGCTATTAACTGTTTCACTTCCCCTGTGTCTAATTCTCCAGGGTTACCTTCAATTTTCTGCTTCTTGGCCTCAGGAGCTTCTTTCTGTTTAGTCATTTCTTTTTTCCGTTTTCCAGGTGCTTCTTTAACAGGCTCTGAAACAAGATTTAAGTGTCATTCATGAGTTGGTACAGATACTTAAGAATTTTCTTTAAATATTACTCAGGCCCATGTACTTCAAATCTTAATTTGGCTACCTTCTTCCTCCTCCTCTTCTTCATCCTCTTCCTCCTCTTCATCATCATCTTCATCTTCATCATCTTCATCTTCATCATCGTCTTCCTCCTCCTCAGTCATACCCTTGGCTTTCACAGGAACAACTTTAGCAGGCGCTTTCTTTCCTTTGGCTGGCGTGATCTCCATAGCTTCTTCTTCAGAGTCTAAAAAAAAAGGGCATCTAGTCAGGGCATCAAGATGGCTCAGCAAGTAAAGGCACCACAGAAATACACCAAGTAAAACATCCCTAGTCAAAAGCTCAAAAGCAGATGCAATCCTGCCAACATATTCATTCAAGTCATAGAAAGAATTAACCCAGAAAATAAGGAAAAATAATTCTAATCTAACCCTCAAGTGATCAGTGAAAGAGCATGCAGTACTGTCTCCAGAACCTCCTCCCAAATATCCAGCAAAGAGAAACCCAGGTACTAGTGCTAACTCACCATCTTCTTCTTCCTCATCATCTTCCTCCTCCTCATCATCATCATCTTCCTCCTCATCTTCTGAGGCAGGAGCAGGTGCTGTTGCTTTTGCCCCTTTTGCTGGTTTCACTGCTTTTACTTTTTTAAGAACTGCAGGCTCAAATTCCTCCTCCTCCTCATCCTCGTCCTCTTCCTCCTCATCACTATCATCTTCCTCTTCCTCTTCATCCTCCTCATCACTGTCTTCTTTCTTGGCATTTTTACCATTCTTTGCTCCCTTGGCTGGGGTGACAGCTCCCTTCTTACTAAGGGGTGTTACCAATGCTTTTGCTTGTGTAGCTCCCTTCTTACCAGGTGTTGCAACTGCTTTGGCTGGTGTAACTGTCTTCTTTGCTGGTGTGGCTCCTGCCTTTTTGCTTGGGGTGACAGCTGCCTTCTTAGCAGGTGTGGCAACTGCAACCTTTTTTGTTTGTGAAACCACCACTTTCTTTCCTGGAGTTGTAGCCTTCTTGCCTTTTTTCTGAGGGATGACAACCTTAAGAATAAACAAAATCCTAAGAATCTCTACATACAAGACGATAACTTCCAAAGAAAGAATGCTGGCTACTGCCTTTTGCATTCAGGACTATAAGCACTGGATAGGTTAAACCCAGGGGAAATGGCATTCCATATGCCTATCATGTAGAGGTCTATCGGTTAAATTCCCAAGTGTAAGAAACACTTCTAACTAAGTGTGGTGGTGCATGCCTTTAATCCCAGCACTTGGCAGGTAGCAGCAGGTGGATCTCTGTGAGTTCAAAGCCAGCTTGATCTACATGTTGAGTTCCAGGACAACGGGGGCTACAGGGAGACTGTCTCAAAAAGAAAAAGAAACACTTCTAAAACAAAAAAATAACCTCCGCCGGGCATGGTGGTGCATTCCTTATCCCAGCACCCGGGAGGCAGGCGGATCTGTGAGTTCAAGGTCAGCCTGGTCTACATAGTGAGTTCCCTGTCTCAAAAAAAGACCCCCCTCCCAAAAAAGACCTCCACCCCACTTTTTTGATTAATTACTTGGTTTTGTTTGTTCTTGGGAGATAAGGTCTTATTATGTTGTTCTGGGTGGCCTTGAACTCAGACACCTGCCATGCCCAGCTAGCATCTTTAACTTGGAAACGGCTCATTGGAAGTCAAACATGATAAAACTAGAAGAGCAGCTAGGTGTGGTACTACCTCAACTGAGACCCTATCCCCACTCCACCAACGGAAGTCTATTTGTTTCTTATTTAAAAAGAATTGCTGTTACATGTCATCACGGGCTAAAATCCAGTCTCCATAAAAATTACCCCCACAAACCTGGAAAAAAAAGACAACACAGTATATCACATCAAGACCTGAAGAGGGTACAGGAAAAGGATATCCGCCCCAGATCTTCTGGGTATCAAACTCACATTTACAGCAATTAAGAGTTCAACTACTACATACTAGAAAACCTTATTTTTGCTAATACTTTCAGACACCCAATACTCTTCATGTTAAACTTTAACACAATCCTTCAATTATCAGTATACAATTACCTCCTCTCCACTGCTGTCGTCCTCTTCATCTTCTGACATTTCTTCATCTTCACTGTCTTCTTCCACCTCCTTTGGGGGAGGAGCCATTTTCTTGGACTCACTTTGATTTTTACCAGCCTACAAAGGAGAAAAATTAAGATCTTGTCTCTACCCATCCATGTCCCAGGCCATTCATACTTTGCCATCATCTCCCTCTTTTAAAGTCCACTTTCCAGGACTGGAGAGATGGCTCAGCAATTAAGAACAAATCCTTGCTCCTGCAGGAGGTTAGGTTCCCAGTACCCACAACTGCCTGTAACTCCTAGGGGATCCGACTTCTAGTCCCTGTGGTCAACTGCACTTAGGCCCATAAATACATCAGTACACTTCGTATATCGTTAAAGAACACACGATACTTGCTTTTCTTGTTGGTAGTCAGTTTCCCATCAAGTTTGCTAAGAGGACAATCTGTAAATGGCTCTTTTTAACCCCAGCTGGTATATGGAACTCGCTATGTAGCCCAGGCTGGCCTCGATCTCTAAGTGCTGGAAACTAAGGGCACCAGGACGTCATACCTAGTTAAAGTTCTTCAACCCTCGTCTGAATTCCAATCAGAGTTTAAAAGCACCTTTATGAAGGGGGGGGTGAATCTCTTAAGAGTTCCTGGCGTTCGGTGGAACCATCCCGTCTTTACAGACCAAAGCGGGCCACGTGGGGCACCCAGTAGGCCACCACGCGCGCTCGGCCCAGCGCCTTCTTCCGGGGCCCACCACGTGTCGCCGGGCTCCCCTTCCCAATGCACCTGCACTCCAGGCCCGCGTAATCCAGAGGACCGGCGCAGCCCACGTGGCGGGCCGCGCGCCGCAGCACGTGCGCCGAGAGGCGGGGCCGACCCTCGCCGGTCGCAGGAGTATGGCCTCTTCACACACGCGGCCCCGCTTCCCCTCCCCACGCGCGGCACCTTAAGTCTCCTCCCGCCGCACTCTACACCCTCCTCCCTAATCCTGCCTCAGTTCTTCATCTCACCACCAAGTTAAGTAGCCAAAAGCCGCGAGACCTCCCGCTAGTCGCGCGAGACTTCCCTCAGCATGGCGCTCTCGAACGCGCCCGGGACCGCGCGCAGGCCCTCCTCCTCTCGGCGCCACGCGCGCGCGCGTCTCAGAAAGCAGGCCGAGGCGTTCGAGTCCGCCCGCAAGGCCTCGCTCACCTTTGCGAGCTTCACCATGATGGCGGCTTATGGCGACAGAGAGTGCGGCGCGCGAGACGTGCAGATCAGCCTAGAGGAACCCGTGCGACGTCGATGGCGCCCGCGGGTACTGAAGACACTGGAGCACGTACGACTGACTGCCAGCTACAGCTAGCGTCTGAGGCGAAAGACTGAGCCTGCCCAGTAATCGCCTCTGGAAAGGCGACGACGGCGACCTCGTGACTACACTTTGGCCAATCAGAGCTCGCGCCCGCCGGGTGAGCCAATGGCGAGCCTTTAACCCGGGACGTCGCGGGGCGGGGCTCCGCTAGGTGGGCGGGGATGGAGGGGCGGGGTCTGACCGTGACTCCCTGGGGGCGGGACTAGCTTTGTGCAGGGCGGGCGTTGACTGGTTAATAGGTACGCGGGTTCCTCAGTGTTCTGGCGCTGCGGTTGTCGCCGCGCTTGCGCTGTGGGACGCGGGAGTTTGGCGCGGCTTGTGTGAGGAGCGCGGGGGTGGCGGCGTCGCCCTCGGGTACGCGAACTGCCGGGGACTCGCTTGTGGCCTACACGAGCTGCCTGGGCCTCCGCTGCACTGTGGACCTCGCTGAGGCCCTAGCGAGGAGGTCCCCGTGCGTTCCTGCTGATGAGCCGGAAGTTCAGGGACTGGAGCTGGCGGGGGCGGGGGCAGGGGACGGGACACAACACCTCGGCCCTTTCCGCAGAGGAGCCGAGAGTCGGGACCCTCCTCTCGGCCCAAGTGGCTTTCTGCGGGCCACGGTTCTCTTGAGCCATGAGAGCTCATTATTATTAGTAGTATGTGTATAAGTGTATTGTCTGCATGTGTGTAAGTGCATGTGTGTAAGTGCACCCGTGTCGTGCAGTGCCAGAAGGAGGTCAGAAGACGGCGTCGGATAACCTGGAACCAGAGTTATATGGATAGTTGTTAGCCGCCATGTGGGTGCTGGGCACCGAACCCGGGTTCTCTGCAAGACCAGCCGGTTCGCTTAACCATCTCTTTCCAGCCCCATCCTGAGAGCTTTTAATAAAGGCAGTCGCGTGTTTGTGTGAGCAGTTCACAAAACAGCCCATGTAATCTGTGACCTCGTGGGGTAGGTATGGCTCCTAGTGGGTCATTCTGACTTGTGCGGTAGGTACTTACTTGGCCGGCCTATGACCACTCACAAGAGTTAACGTTAAGTCAGAGAAGCCACAGGAAAAGTTCCCGCGATGACAGGGACACCGCGCCTTACTTAGGCTGCCTCGCGGGTAGGACGTATTGGTACTAAACTTACCAACCTGGTGAGCTTCCTTCCATTCTGGAATATTTTCTGGGCATCTAAAACCTATTTATACAGAATTGGGATTCCATCAACTGTCAGAACTTTAGCTTAAAAAAATCACCTTGAGCTGGGCGTAAGTCACACCGCTTAGGAGGCAGAGGCAGGCGGATCTTTCTGAGTTAAAGGCCAGCCTGTTCTACATGGTGAATTCAGGTCAGCTGGGCCTACAGGGAGACCCTGTATCAAAAAGACAAAAAAATCACCTTGGGACTGTTAAGAGCGCTGGCTGCTCTAGCAGAGGACCCGGGTTTTAATCCTAGCACCCACATCTTGGCTAACAACTCTCCTGTAACTCAAGTTCCAGGGGAACCTGTCTCTGTTTTGACCTCTGCGGGCATTGCACGACATAGGTGCACTTACATAACATGCAGACAATACACTCATACACATAAAATATTTTTTAGGCCAGGCATTACACCTGTAATCCCAGCATTTGGGAGGCAGAGACAGGAGGATCTTTGTGAGTTTGAGGCTGGCCTGGTCTACATAGTTCCAGGACAGCTGCAGGGAGACCCTGTTTCAAAAAGACCAAAAAAAATTTTTTTTTGAATCACCTCGGGGGCTGGAGAGATGGCTCAGCAGTTAAGAATAGTGGTTGTTATTGCAGAAGACCCGGGTTTGAATCCCTGCACCCACATAGCAGCTAACATCTGTAACTCCAGTCCCAGGGGATCTAACAGACAGCCACTTCTGACCTCCATGGGCATTGCACGACACAGGTGCACTTACCTACATTCAGGCAATACATGCATACACATAAAAAAAAAAATTTAAAAATCACCTCGGAAGATTTTAATGCAAGAGGGATGTGTTGTGTTTCAGGATTTTCTATCTGGGGGGCCTTTGGGAATACTTAGGAATAATTCAAAGCATTTCGAGATCGTTGCTAGCACCCTCTGGACATGATATAGGGGCTCTGGTCAGGGCAGGAGTCAGAGACCCTTGCTGTAGTGTGCAGTTATCCTTTGGGGGCCTTGTTTCTATAGAGAGCCCTGTGAGAAGATTCATACTTGAACTGTGAGGGATGGGGCCAAGGGAGATTAGGAGGACAGGAAGAACCGGAGCCATTGCATGGTGGCAAAAGACCCTGGGTATTTCTGAGCAGAGAAGGTTTACAACAGTCTTGAGGCTGAAGGGATGAACCATGGCCTTGAAATGACAGCTGAATTCCAGCACCATTAGCATAGTTGCTCCTTGTTCAGATCTGCCTATATCACCTTATGGGGCTTTCCTCAGCCCTCCAGTGAAAAGTACCACCAGGAGACTCACTGTTGACCTCAAGGTACTTAAGTACTTACCACTCACCAGGTACTTTTCTTAAATGTTCACTGTCCTTTTGCCCCGTTCCCAGACATGAGAGCACATTGTTCTTTGCTATATTCCTGCTCCAGCATCCCATGAGTAGTAGTACTACCTTTTGTGTACAGGTATTATGAGAAATACCGTGTTTTGAGGGTTTTAAAAAATAAATTTAAAATTTATTTTTATGTGTGTGTGTATGTCTCTGTGTGGGTATGAGCATGTGCTAGAGGAGGCCTAAAGAGGGTGTCAGAGCCCCTGGAGCTGGAGTTCCAGGACATTGTGAACTACCCCATGTTGGTGCTAGGAATCAAACTCCTGGCTTCTGCAAGAACACAAAGCACTCAACTGCTGAACCATCTCCATCCCCTGAAGAATGGTTTTTGTTCTGAAGGTTCTGTGGAGACTATTCTTTTTTTTTTGGGGGGGGGGGTCTTCTGGAACTCCCTATGTAGACCAAGCTGCCTCTGCCTCCCTAGCGCTGGAAAGGCATGTGCCACTGAGCCCTGCAAAAATGGCTATTCTTATATTGGCAAAGGAATCAATGGAAGGAGAGTTAGAAGGCCAGAGACGAATTGGGATGGGCCTCAGTGAGGAAAGACTTTGTTTTTTTTTTTCAGACAGGATCTTACTTTGTATCCCAGGCTGACCTTGAATTTGGGGTAGTTTTCATGCCTCAGCCTCCCTAGTGCAGATTACAGACTTAAATCACCAGGCTGGATTTAAAAGTGAGGAAGAATTCTTGAATGAAGGACCATTCCCTGGGCAAGAGCAATTGAGGAAGGGTAAGGATGGACTTCTTGTAACAATATAAGTGGATATCTACAGATAGGTTCTGGAGGGCCTGACTTCCTGTCAGCCTGGCTCTACCTGGAATATGACATACTCAGTGCCTGGTTCGTGAATGGAGCATGGGTGTATGAATTAAGGAAAGCACTGTCTGATGATCTCTTGGGAGAATAGGCTGCCTTTCAAAAGAAAGGGAAGGAAGGCTGGATAATTTATTCCACAGAGAAGCAGGATGCAGTCTTAAACTGAAGGATTGTTTGCTAAGTAAGCAGCAGAGAAAGGAAATTGCCTTCAGTGAAAACTGCTTTGGTTGGTTTCCTTTTTTTTTTTTTTTAATGTTATTTTGAGACAGGGTGATGGTCTTACTATATAGACTTGTTTGGCCTGGAACTCACTGTGTAGAAAGGCTGACCACAGAGATCCACCTGCCTCTGCCTCCTGAGTGCTGGTATTAAAGGCTTGGGCCACCACATCCAGCCTAAGAGCTGACTGCTTTAAACATTAGTAATGCCTTTGTGGGGACATCCTTAGCAAAGTCCACATGTTTCAATCCTTGGATAAGAGGAAATTGTAGAATTAGAACCTACTGTTAGAGTATAAAATCCCTAGTTATCTGTTGGAGGACCTACTTTTCCAGTCTCACTGGTCAATTACCTAGTGATAGGGCCATTCCTAGGAAGGAAGGTTCACCTTAAGTTATGCTAAATGGATGGGCAGAATACCTTGTGAGTTAATTAGGTAGCAAATTTTTCCTGCCTGGAACTAGCGCAGACACACACACACATACATCTATTCATCCCCCCACCCCCACTCCCCACCCCACCCCGCAGACCTTCTGGACCAGCCACGGTCATGTAGTTCTCTGTGAGTCTGTTGGCTTTCCTGAACTCTTCAGGAAGGTGCAATTTCTCCTTCTTCATGCCTTATATTTCTTTACTTTTTCTTTAAAGCTTCTTTCTCCCAGCCACATGGCTGTGAGTCAGCCATGTGTCTGACCTCCAACACAGGCTCTAAACCTGCATGGCTCCATGATTTTCTTTACTTCCCACCATTCACCTCCTCAAGGCAGCTGACGAGCTTGCCTGCCCTGAGGATTATTATTTAAGATTCTAAAAAATTTGTAAAAGCATCCTTTTGGGTCCATTCTTAAATTCTTTTATGAATGAGACCAAGAACCCTCTAGGGTACCCTCTTTCTCCCTGTATCAGTAGAGGCCTCTAAGAATGGACTGTCTCAGGCTCTAGCCAAATAAGGAAAGTAACATTACATATTTAAAGCAAAGAGTTTCCATGTTAAATAAATATATATTTTTAAATGGACTGGGAAAATAACTCAGTGGTAAAGAGCACTGGCTGTTCTTGAAGGGGATCTAGGTTCAGTTCCCAGCACCCATGTGCTGGCTAACCAGCTAACCATCTGTAACTCCAGCTCTGGGGTATCTGATGCCCTCTTCTGACCTCTGCAGGTATTGCATGACACAGGTGTACTTATATACATACAGGCAATACACTCACACAAAAGTTATTTTTTTGGTCTTTTTTGAGACAGGGTCTCCCTGTAGCCCCAGCTGACCTAGAATTCTCTGTGTAGGCCAGGCTGGCCTTGAATTCACAGAGATCCACCTGCCACTGCCTCCTGAGTGCTGGGATTAAAGGCATGCGCCACCATGCCTGGTCCAAAAGTAAATATTTTTTTAAAACAAGGAGTTTCACTCTGGGAACTGTTTATATGAAGGACAGGATGACAGAGAAGCTAAGCAAGCCTTTGCTTGCCTTCTCCC